ACTGCTGGCACTCTCTGCAAACACCAATATAGACGAGGGTCTACAGATAGAGGGTGTTGTATGCTTAAGAGATTGTAAAGACCCTTAAGGCAAATTTGTGTAATTTGGCTTCAAAAGTGAGATTGACTTGTGTGGCGCCGTTCCTATAGCTTAACTGTGCTCATTCTAAAACTAAATTAACATTTCTGACAGAAACAGGACTATGTCAAGCACAATTTTCTCAATACTTTAAATTCATAAACAGTCACATGAAAATAAGCTGCCCTAGTCGTTGTCACTACAAACTTATGTTTAATTTTTGAAAAACTACACATGATCCAGAAATCTTTTTGATCCAGAAGTATTTTTCATTTACTTTAATTTGCAGAAACAAAAACCTTGAAGAGTTTTGACTCCACTGGGTTTCCTGGGGAGCTGATTTAAGAGGCTGACTGTTAATGATGGTAAGAATAAAAGTCAAACATTTCTCTAATATTCAACTGGAATGTACCTGCAGTATTGCAATCTAAAATGCCATGCAGTTCAGAGTGATGTATGTAATGTGAAAACAATACTTTGTAGTATTTATGTAATGCTGGAAAAAGCAGCACTTTCATAAAGAAATGACAAATTCTACATTTATGTATTGTAAACAGTATATGCACTAATACACATTTGTTCCCTCTCTTGCATCAAATGAATCTTTCCCTAAAAGCAGTGCAAAACCTGATATTAGACAAAGCACTAAAGAATGTTAGAGAAAGAAATATGCAGAGGGCAGAGCAATACCAACCTTTTGGAAAAGAAGTTACCGAAACTAATCCAAATAAAATCTAGGTGGATCAGAGTGAGACCCCGAATGAAAAAACCAAGGGGAAAAATCTATTTATCTAATTGGGCAAAAACGGGTTTCTTGATTCGCACTGCACGTTATCTTCAAATAGTGTGATGCACCAGGTCAGTAGGTTGATGACGTATAATCCACAGCTACTTTATTCTCTTCATTGGATGGAAAAAGGAAAAAAACAATCACAGAGATGGAATTCTTCATGGATTTCTGGACATGTGGTAAAATAATAGGAACATAAGACTGTAATAAATAAATATGGATTATTTTTTCTTTTTTTAAGATGATGAACTTTCAGTGAAATCCAGCTCGTTTACACAGCAACTTGTTGCCAGGATGGAAAATACATCCAACTGGATACATTTTGTCTTGAAGTGCGAGGATGCTCCAAAAGTCAGGATACTTGCGAAAAAGGGGGGAAAATGTATTCCACTGCTGATATCAAGTAGTCAAACAAGCTTGTAGACTCACATATACTAATATCACAGCACGAAAACACCAGATGGGCTCATAGGCATGTCTTTATTCCACAATCCTAGGATCTTATCAGGTTTATGTAATTGAAGGCTTCATCTAGTAAGTAACTTGGAAAAGGTTATCTTCAACTCTCTGTTACACGAGTGCTTTTCTCCCCACTGAGCTGAGGAAGAGGTCTTACACAGCTACATCCACACTTGAGTAATCCAAACGAATGGCATCTACACCTATCCATACTAGGGTCCACATCAGTACATCCCAAATGCTTTGCATACATCCAGGAGGGTACATCCAACTATGCAGTCTTCACAGGTCTTCATGGCCATCAATCCACAACAAGAATAGCTCCACAAAGTGGTGGTTGGATCCTCTGTGATCTTGCGAAGTCTTCTTCGTATAGCTTCCATATTTGAGACGAAAATGTATTTAATATAAAAAGTTAACCTGAAACTTTAATGACTGAGATAGCCTAGGATGTACGCACTACATCTGTCTTTCCTGTAATGTTTAATAAATAGGAGGTTCTTCTATCCGGTTGTTCAAAACGTAAATCCAGAGTGGGCCGTATCCACAGATGCAAAAAAATCATAAAAAGTAGTCCATCCGTCTGATGTGGCCATGAGGAAGAAAATGTCGACAACCCGAGGAGATCCTTCACGTAATGATATGTTACCTGCACGAATTCTTCAAAGAAAAGTACATCCTTCATAATAGGGATTTACTTCCAGTTTCAAGCGATTCCAAGTAAAAATCGAGGATATATCCCGTATTTAGGAGGAAAAGGTTTAAAAGTATCCAATAGGGCCCCAAGGTAGTTTCCCACAAAATGTAATAAATCCAAAACTCACCAGGATATTCCTCACAGATGTAATATCCAAACCAGATGTCAGACCTTGAATAAGAAGTTACACTACCAAATGATAATGTGTGGTTAATTTACTTAAATCCCATGGGAAAGGCGAGTCAATTAGGATGAAAAGTGGATCCCTAATTACCTTTGTGCAACTCCCTTGAGGCATATATCCCTCATGAATAACCCCACTATGTGTTTAGGTTTTACACCTATCCAATACCTCGATTCCCCTGGTATTTAAGGGGAGGCCGTGTCCACTTACCCATCTATTCTCCGTTCATAACGTCCTTCTCTGGTGTGCAGGGACACAGGTGGGCCAAACACTGGACCAACTGTTGCCCTAGAGAATCCTGTAACGTCTCGACTGCTCGAGGGGGAGCTGTCTTCAAGGCCTCGAACAGCACTAGGGACTGACCCCGGTTCATTGTAGTCAGTTCGAAGGTCCCGGTCTCCCATCTTGTTGACAGCATTGTGAGCTTTCTGCGCACTTTTAATATCCACAAAATCCACAAAGGCTGCAACACCGCCCTCTGACCCTCGCTTCCGCAGAACTTTAACACTTTCCACACGGCCATACCTGAAAGGAAATGACAATAAAAAACAAACAGGAAATTACATATAGACCAGCTAAGATTAGAGCCAGCGTAGCCAAGAACAATGATCCATCTCAAAATATGAACTAAAGAAAATTAACACCAACATTTCCTTTTAGGCCTCTGAACAGATAAAACTGTCAGTGTCGGCGACAGTTACAAGTCATGTTGGGAGGTTTCTGTCGTTAATCAAACATCCCTCCGGGTACTAAAACATGTCAAATGTTCAACAACTATAAAAAGCATCTCATCAAAACAGCACACCACTTGTTATTGTGTACCGCAATAGCTACCATTAACTTTCACTGGATGTAGTGTTTATTGTGTTGCAGATGAGCTATATGAGAAGTTATTCAAATGGTATTCACAAAATGTAACAAATAATAAAGTTACATGGTTTGTATTTACTTCTACGGGATCATACAGTGTATCCTGTTAGCTTCCTGTATATTGTATTGTACTAACGTTGATTTTGAGAGCAACACCTGGTTTGCTTTTACTTGTAAATTGGTAAAATTAGAAAACAACACTACGTGTGTTAGCAGGGTTCAAGTACTTCGACGTGAAGCAGCACAACAACTAGCTAACATTAGATGTTCAGGTCGGTGAGCTCAGTGATCGGTTGCAGATTGTATCTTCTCTACATTTAATATGTATCTAACAACACTGTTAACCAGAGCAATAGCGCTGTGAAGCACACGTCCCCGTTGCTAAATAACACACGGCATGTCATGCTATCTGACCTGCTGCTCCGCTAACGCTAGCTGACGTTTGGCTTTTACTGATCATGAAAACGTCTCGACTTCCCACAAAATGGTTGGTTGGGTGGTAGCTCGGTGGCTAGCACACCTAGCTACTTGCCTCCTTTAGCAAAAGTTAGCCAAATACTACAAACCGTAAACATGTCCACTTAAGCAGTACCATAACCAACACCTTGTTAAAATAACATTGCTGTGCTGCAACATAACAAAGGCAGAAACCCTCTGACTTGTAAAACTTGTAAAATGCTAACGTTAGCCGTGTTAGCATTAGGCTGCCCTTTGCGATGAGCTAACGTTAGTACCTAGCGCGCGCTGCTCGGCCAACACAGCTTGCGTAACCCACCGTTTAAAATGCTCCACGATCTTCTCCTCTCGAACATGTTCGGGTAAATTTCCCACCCAAAGGTGTCTGGTTTCCCGAACCATCTTGAGCTTTTCTTCCCCCCTTCAACCTCATATGATCTCGCACGTTTTCTATTCCCTGCCGGTCGGAGGTCCGCCTGAACAAAATGAACGACGGTGTGAATAATTTGGGCCTGGTAGCTGCTGCCCGTTTAGCTTTAGCTGCTGTCGCTGCGTCCCTGATCTATGTACGGGCACGAGCGTGAGACTCGCTCCTGATGGGTTTAGGGTGCGAGCTGCGCGGCCCCGAACTCGCCGTGCTTGCGCGTACTCGACAGTTTACGAATAGACAACAACAATCGTCACGCGATTTCTTCAACGAGGAACAACCTTAAGCCCGCGACTTGTCTGCGCGGTCACGTGGTGCTGTCTGCAAGGTAATCAATGTTTTTATATCATAATACCAGTAACATACACGTAGATCCCATCATCTTTTTAACGCTCCTATGTTGGATACATGCCTTATATTTGAATTATTTGATATCAATAGTATACAACATATTATTATGTGATATTGGACTTGCAGCACTCAGATCACAACCACCACGGCCCCTGACAATACAGACTGTTCACTAAGCTATAAAAGCTGCTACAAGTTTTTGCTATTCTTGTATTACTAATGTGTGCTTTTCTCCACATTTACATGTTAGCTATAATAGTTTCTCCCTTGTTTGCTCTGACACTTTTGCGGTAACGCTGTAAATAAAGAAACTCTAAAATGTTCCTTCATGTTGAACCTATTCCCTGAGAAATAGTTCCTAATGGGCTGCTGATCATTGCAACCACAGTCAATGTTTTTTTTGTATTGTTTGTGAACACAAGCAAAAACTAGGACTAGCCTACTGTACATATAAATCTCTGGATCAGTTAATCAATGTATTGTTACATTTCTAATGTCAGAAGATAGTGAATAATGTGCATCACACATTCCAAGGACATAAAATGTTTTCAAATGTCTGAAACCCAGAGATCTATGTTCATGATGAGAAGGGGAAGATATTGATTAGAGTCAGGGGAATGGCTGATGTATTTCAAAAGTTATATAAGCTCACTTTAAAGACCAGAAAAAGACAACACAAATGCTTTTATTTTTTTTACAGAAAATGTTTTAATAAATGTGTCTGATACAAAGAAATATATTTATACACAAATGTAATTTTGTTATACAGAACATAAATAACGAGACATTTCAGCTGGGATCTGAATTAGACTTTAACCTTGAAACTCAGTGTGAATAGTTCTATTTTTCAGGCAAAAGTACAACATATATGGTCCGTAAAAAATCTTCATATATTCTAAATGAAGTCACATCAAAAGCATCTTCAAGTGCTGGTCCATAATAATTGCTATTGTATATGTTACACTTTATTTTATTCAAGCTCTAATATCCGTGGTCAATTTCCTCCCCAATATAACAGTTGTAAGTTAAATGTTAATCTTCTTTCCCATGTTTATCCTTAATGAAAGTGTATGTGTGTATTTAGCAAATATCATGTTGGAGATGTTGGAGCCTGCCTCTAGATAAAATATATTAGTTTACTTTTTTAAAGTTGTTTTTTTAATACAAAGGGTTACTGTGATTGAGAAACACTAGGCCTATAGGCCTACTGATTAAGATTTTTACAAAAAACTCAAATAATGCTCGCCGTACATTTTGGAAAAGGCTGTTGCATAAATATATTTGGTGCATTTTGTATTTTATTGAGTGCAAATGTATCAAGTATAAAATAAGAAAAGGAAGATTTTCAGAAATCACGATATATTGTAATAAAAAAATTCCAAAATAAGAAAGAAAAAACAAACATATTTCATTGTTGAAAAATATGTGTGACATTTGTAATCCAGAGTAAAATGCACATGCGAAGTCACCCATTATTTTTAAACCTGGAGTGGTGACATTTTTTCATTCGTTTGTCTCGGCTCCAAGGCCAGTGTTAGTGCTGGCCAGAAACCAAGTTCAGATGGCAGGTTTTGCAGAGCAACTTCCCCTCCAATGGATAGCAGCCGTGTTCATTTGGTTCAGGAGAGAGCTGGATGACACACACCTGCAGACGATAAGAAAGACTTATCCACTGGTGATGATTAATGTGTGTTTGCACACCGGTCATTGTGTACAGTGCAGTTTGCTACACACTGTGTTCCTACCTCACATCTGTAGCAGTTCTCATGGTATGAGTTTCCCAGGCATTGAACATTATAGCTGTCAGTACCATCTTCTTTTGGAATGATTAGCTTGTTGCAGGCATTACACTTTGGAGCATACTTCCTTTATGGACAACATTTTAGAGAGAAAATAATATTAGATAAGTCGAGGCAACTTCATTTGCATAGCACCTTTCAAACATAGCCAGTTTAAAGTCATCAATACTCAAGGTGAGCATAATAAGAACAAATTCAACAGCAATTTGTTGATTTTCTTTCTTACACTTTTTACACAAATCCTCTTAAGTGAGTTGTGGATTGTTTCCATGCGATTTGCTTGACACAATTTTAACAATCTACCTGTAATAGTCCCGGAGGCAATACACCTCCCCAACTTCTCCCTGAGCAAAAGCTTGCTCTCCAATTTCCTGTTTACATGTTGCACAGGTAAAACAAGAAAGGTGGTACGCTCGCTCCAGTGCACGGATCACATGATCTGTGATAACTTCCCCACAGGCCCAGCAAAGCTCCAGACTAGCCTAAGAGAGAGAAAAAAGGGTTATGGAATACACTTCTCTCACAAAATAATAATACAAAAATTCTACTGTTTAACCAAACCACTTAAATATCATATGTACGGTTTTTGAAGCTCATATTTTGGTATTTTTTAACCACACCATGCAATGATAACACAACATTATTAACAACAGGTGACACGTTGGATAATCTTTAATTCTGTGCAAGCTAATTATAGCCACCTGGAAGGTATGGAAACACCCCTATTCAAATATGTAAAACATCAAAGCAGTCTTAAGAGAACAGTTAGCATTAACGTAAAGCATGAATGATTAGAAGTAAATAAGAATCCAAAATCAATCATACGTGCAGGGCAGTATCTACCTGTACAGCACTTTGGCCCGACCAAAAATCGCTTTTAAATGTGCTTTATTATAAATAAACTTTGATTTGATTTACCTGGTAGCAGTCTTCACAGAGGGGGATTCCTGCTTTGTTGTAGTACTGTTTACCAGCCAGGGGAATGTGACAAGATCTACACTGAAAGCAACCATCATGGTACGTCCTGTTCAAGGCCTCTATTGCAGGTTCAGATAGAGCCACAGGTTTCCTGCAGAAGCCACACACCTCTGCAGAGTACACAAACATCAAATGTGAAAGCGGGTCATAATAATATGTGTATTGTCAAAGTGGAAGAGTGTGTAAATAGAGATCATGTTACCTCTACTCTCCCTGCTCGTGTCTTGCCCATTATTTTGGATCCCATGGGATTGTTCATCTTGTTTTAACCCACTAGATGGTGTGCTTGTTTCCACCTTAAATGAAAGGTGCATGCTTAATGTACAAGTCAACTGTAACCTGGAGCAGAAATTGGCACTATTTATAAAATGCTTGATTTAAAAACAATAACAGAAAGTGGTCATAGTTGATGCTAGTAGAAAGGTAAAGGAAGACATAACCTCATAGAGGTCAAACTGGAAAGGAGGTTGTAGAATAAAATCAACTTTAAAGTAATTATAATTACTATACAAGTATCTCATTAATCTGTCATTGAGAACTAAACATTTATCATGAAGATATCTACATTTTGGAAAGTGCTTTTATTTAAGTATTTTTTTTAAGTATCACTCTTTGAAGATTATGCATTAAAACCAATGCATAGTAAATACTTATATGGACAGTTGTAATCCTTCAATATGGTGGATTTTTTTGAAGTGAAGTTTTGTGTTTAAAACAGTAAATGACAGTGGTCGACATGAACATTTTAGTGATGCAAATGTGACAGAGGTGTGCATACCTCTCTGTTGTAAATGGGCTGCTGGCCTGGGGTCAGAGAGCTGGAGGAAGGCGTCTGTGCAGGTGGAGGTGGAGGTGGTGGAAGTGCTGATTCTTCAGAGAGCGATGTTCCCAAAGATGAAGGAAGTGCTGCATCAGGAGGAGGAGCAGGGAAGAGCTCTGTTTGGCAAGAAACAATATTATGTTTTAGTAACTTGTAGGATCTTTCTCAAGTTAGAACTGAGGATAGTTGTAATAAGAAAATATTATACACAAATATATATACAAATGCCAACCACCCAAAAAGTCAATTAGAAAAATTATTATAGAAGAAAGAAAAGAGAAAAAAAGTGCTAATTATAAAAGAGAAAATAAATTAAAGGGAGAAAAAGATGCTTATGAAGTTATGTCTCCTAAATAAGTGTTTTGCTCCTCATAGTCAAACTAAAGTGAACACATGTCTGCATGTTTCAAGAAGATCGGTAGCAGCTGTTCCTTAGAGATACAACTTAAGTGAGAAAAGAGCTATGATTTCACCGATTAGCATTACATTTTTATAACTTTGTCAGATGAATGTTGGAAAGTTAAAAACTTGACACAGAACCAGGTAACTAGTATGCTGCTGATGGTTCTGAGATTTTGGAAAGACAGGTCTAAAACTTGCAAAACAATCGTTTACACTGATACAAATATATTATCATGAATACCTGCAGGCCCTCTATCATCTTCTTGAATCTTTCCTCTGCTGGGTTCAGGTTGGGCAGGTTTGGGGCTCTTGGGGTCTGAATGTCTGACTGAGGCCTCTTGATGAGTCTGGCCTTTGCTCTCTAAACTGCCCTCAGACTCAGACTGTGAGTTGTCCTCTTTCTTAAGTCGGCTGACGGGGATGTTGTCACTCGGGCTGACTCGTACAGCAGTTTGAGGCTTGTCTCTGGCCGGGGCGCTGTGAGCTTTGAGGACGGGCTGCTGCGGTGTCACAGTGGCTCGGTGAGGAGGCGCCAGAGTGATGAAGACAGAGGACACCATCCTTTTTGATGTAGCTGCTGATGCCATGGCTGTATACAACCTACACACAGCCTAAAAGGAGGACAGAACAAGTATGATGTACATTGCTTGCAATATGTAATGTTCAATAGTCCTTCAGAAACACTTCACAGACTCAACACATTACTTGATTTGTTTAGGTACCTTGGAGTGTAAGAAAAAAACAAAACAATGTCCCTATTATCTCAATAATACTGAATCTAATTGTACACACCCTCTCAGTCAACTTTGTGGGAGTGCTCACTCTCACTTCAGAGAGGTAAACTCACACACTTACAGCTCTCATTAGTCAAAATGAATGGTTCTACAGGCAGAAAGCACAAACATGGATCAACAGTTTTCTTAAAACCCACTCACTCTGTCTGTAAGCTGCCCTTACATACCTGGGAGAAAATGCGGTTTGAAGACAGCTCTGTCTTTTCTTCTTTCTCCTTCCCTGCTCTGTATCTCAGAACTTCTGGTTTGTTTTCCCTCCTGTGAGCTGCCACTGAGAGAAGGCTTTACTCGGGCGACTATCAGCAGAAGGCCACTCCTTTTCCTTCTGCACCTCCCTCCAACTCTCTCGTCCGTCGACCCCTCCTCCTTCTCTGGCCGAATGACAATACCTCCTCCCCTCCCGACCGTAAAAGGTGAACAGTTAATCTCGAGCAAAGTGCAGTAAAAAACACATTCATGCATTATGAAAACTTGGCTGGCTCACACAAACACACGCACACCAACACAATCACACACACATGCACAAAGACACACAAAGAGAGTCATGCAACAGTTGGGTAATCCAACAAAAACACACAGTCAGACTTTTTTACAATGTAATATACAGTATCATAGAGTATCTCATAAGGGGTTTGCCCTTAGATAGGCACCAGCCACCTCCCACTTCTTTATCTTTTTGCATGCCAGCAGGATGTGACTGTACCTGCCTTTTCCAGCAACTCTCTATCTCACTGTCCTCTTTCTCTCTCCTGTGCAGCTCTGCCTTATTGTTCTGTCAGCTTTATTTTCCCGACCTCCCTCATTGAGTCTGCCTCCTTTTTTCTTCTCCCTCTTTCCTTCTTCCCTTCCCCCACTACATTATATCACTTAAGCCTTGACTCACTATCAGTGTCACATGGCATTGCTTCCATTTGTGCCCCACCGACGTCTGATAATATGTGGGGGGCTTCATCAGACTCTCCTGGTGGAGCTTTCGTGGTTGAAGGCGGCCGTATAGAAGCAGCAGCAGCATTACAGTGCAATGAATCAGGGCATTGTGCAGGAGGAGATATTGGTGTATTAGGAGAGGATGGGGGGGGGGCATTGAGTGATGTCTGTGAGAGCTATGAAAAAGCTGCTTTGTTGTGTTTGCTGCCCTCCACTAGAGAAACATATCAGGTCTGCTGATCAGCAAATATTGGGATGGGCTTCCTGAGGCAAACCCTCTACGCTCAAAAGGGAGGATGGAGTGAGAATAAAAGTGATCGATGTGGGTCAGAGTGGAAGAAGAGTGAGAGAGGGTTAACAGGAGACGGGCTGAGGGGAGTGATGGGGGTCTCTGTTGTTCCTGCTCTGTGGAAAGGAATGCTGCGGTGATGTCACGGCTGCAGGAGGGAGCATGCCTACCGATGACACAATCCCCAGACCTCTACGCTCCGCCCCCCCTACAGCCAAGATCCTCATTAAACCCTCTGAACCTCCTCAATGCTTCTACAGAATTAAGTTTCAGTTCACTTTCCAGCATCCCAAAATAACGTTTTACATTAATCCGGAGTTTTGTGTCTACTTTGGTGAGAACAATGGATACCGAATGCAGGGAAATGAAGAGAAAGCAACAGGAAGAGGCCCAAGTAGATATAAAACAATGATGATTGCATGTTGTTGATGTTGATTTCCTGATTGCAAACATCTGCAGGGGTAGAACAAATACTTCTCAAGGAGAAACGCTGTTAGTTTAGCCAAACACCACAAGTGAGAGCAGGATTACTGCTTTGAGTAACATGCATGGGAGTACTTCAGTAATAAAGTTTGGGGAAATGGTGAGAGCTGGAGGCCAAGATAATGTGCCTTCTAAGGGTCTACAGCCAAAAACCAAGGCTGCATTCTCCAAAATGCAACTGGATGGGTCTTTCATAGGACGTCCTCCATTCCAAAAATAGCTTACAAAGTTCCTTTCAAAGGCACAGGATATCATTTATACTTCTGCATCATACTTCTTACGTTGACGAGTAACTCATATCATGTGGAATATTAGTGGAGTGTCCCTTTAACTAGTAGTTACTTATGGTTCCTGTAATTGGATATTTGGTACCAATACGGCACCCTGATGTTTAAAATGTACCTACTCTCCAATTTCTGTGCTACTCATCAAAATCTTTTAAAGGTTTCATTCATAAAGGAAGTGTTTCTGAAATAATGTCTTCAAAGTGTGAAGTTGTTTAGAAGATCTAATATACGTAATAAGTATAATTAGTGTGTCAAAAATGCATCAAAAGGCTACTTTATTAATTGTAAAATATTTACAATCCCTGACCAAAAATGTGTGCAGACCCACAGTTAGGAAGATCTGCTTTTGTTGCTCTGCCCCACATACTGTACTTTAAATATGCTGTTGTATGAACCTTGGCACCATTGAACACGAGGGGGGCGGTGGAGGTCTTATCTGTTTACAGTGTGGACATTTCATCAGCTTTCTGCTCATCTTTGTTCTTATCAAATAACTTTTAAAAGTACTTTTGTGTTTGGTATAATTATGCTGTTACTATAGACAAATTATCTGTAATGCAATATATTTAATAAGCAACTTGGCAATCCTTTATCATAACAAAAGTATCAATAATAACAGAAACATCTCCACATCTTCCAGTTCATACTGAAAAGCAGCAGCTAAATGGTGCAAAATCCTCCTCTTGCCTTCTGATTAAAAAAAAGAATACCAATAACAGTTAGTCTACAATTAGTGCCATCAAGTGTGTATTCTTTTATTATGTAAACAGTGTTATTAGGATTCATTGAAATTCGAGGTAGTGTCCGGTTTCGTGGTAGATTTTGGGTGCTCCATCAACTGTCATCTGATGATGTGTCCATCCTACGATCCTTCAATTTGTGATTGAAGTTCGGTTGATATTTTCTTACGCGTGTAGCTTCTTCTTCCTAAAAGTGAAGCATGACAACATAAATGTAATTTTCAGATTTCTCAAAATTACTTACAAGTAGCACAACAGTTCTTTAATAGAGAAATAGTTATACTCGATAAATCGCAGTCCAAAAAGGGAACATCAAATATGTAAAATCACTGAGTGAAGAGTTGATTCACACAGACCTGTAACGAGGCTCTCAGTAGATCCTGAGAGGGCAGCAGGCTGACCGCTTCCCCCAGAAAAGTGATGAGGACGTGGAGTACATCGGACCAGTTGTCCACGGTCAGCACCAGCACCAGCAGGGCTCCCAGCCGTAGCACCACAGTGTGAAACAGAGCTTCTGTGCCGGGCTTACGCTGCTGATCCTCTGTGCAAAAATAAACAACACAACGTATACAACAGTATAATAACATTCATTATTGTGTTTTTTGTGGTATTTTATGGCCTAATTTTCTATGTATTGTTTTATTGGTGCCATTTTTAGGTGCATCCCTTATGGCCTACTGTTAGAAATGCACAATATTAAACAAGGTTATCTAATCTCATTAAAGAAAACGAGAAATATTTTTAAAGACCATTTTCCTGACCTCTATACAAGGCTAGACAATCACCTTGGACGTAGACCACCAGGATGGAGTAGCAAAGCGTCAATGGAGTCCAAAACTTGAGTGCATCCTTCTGGGACAGGAAGTGGTCATAAACCGTGGCGGTGGAAGCCACAGCTGCTAGAGCGAAGACCAAGACAACCGCTCTTTGCAGTGAAGCCAGTATGGTGTGTCCGGAGGCCAGGAGGGTGATGCACTTCCCACAGTGATGCTCTGTGCTATGAAGTGGGTAGAGTCTGGCCACATGGCTCCACAGACTGTGGCTGACACTTGCCAGTGCCCAGCTGAGAGCAGCTGCCAGAAAGAGGCTGAGGGAGCTGTGTGGAGCCCCCTGATGGAGGTAGCCCAGAGTACAGGAGAGCCCACAACCCAGAGTGAACTGGCTCTGGATCAGCAGCAACTCCAGGCTTCTGCCATCAGCATCCTGAGTTCACATTGGTTTAGGAGTTTGGATGAAAATAGGTTAGACAAGCATTGGAAATATCTACATGTTGAACACTATGGTAGGGTGTCATTTCATATTTTCCCCCCTGCTTCCACTCCTACTGCTATTTATTAAATGTTTTACTTTATTATTTTCCCCTTTGGTTGTTTGTTTGTTTGTTCACCATGTAAAGTGGCCTTGGGTCCCTTGAAAGGCGCGATACAAATTTCATCTATTATTATTATTATTATATTTAAAAATCACAAAAAAGCATGTTTTCTGGTAATTCAATAAAAAGTTAAATAAACACATGGTAAAGCCATATTCAGTTCAACTGTGTGAATAAAAAACTACTTAAAAGTACTTTATCATTTACAAATCTTAGAGCAGAATGAACTGAAATTAAAGAGAAACATAAGCATAACCTATTTTTCAAACAATATATAAAAAAGAAATATGATAGATTATTTTATATTGTTAGGGCAATAATGCCCCCCTAAAAGAAGACACATACATATAACAAGTCTAAATCAATGCGTTATCTGTTCATGTGTTTGGGACACTCACCAGTCGTGCTGTTGCCCAGGAAGAAACAGCTCTGAGAGAAAACTCCAGCACGATCAGAGAGGAAACCCTCGATCCCACCAGAGACAGAAGGACCGTCAGGAACCAGAACTGGAGAGATGTGGTCCAGTTTCCTCTCAGACGACTGCCAGTTGAGGAGGAGTTCTGTTTGCTTTCAGTTTCAGTCTCAGAATCACTGTGTGGGTAATTAGACAAAAAATGCACATATAGACATAAACACATACATACAATACACAGTTTTCTCCTTTCAAATAACTCACCTGCATGTTTGAATAAAGTTGTAGACTCTCAACAAGTTGCACAGCACTGCTATACCACAGGCACCCACAAGACCTTTGAAGCATAAATAACACCACAGCAAAAAAATAAGTATCCAAAGAAAGTACTGTACCCAAAGTCTGATTTGTATTGCGATGAAGATATAAACATACGATTGACTCACCTTGAAAGAAACAGTCTAGTGGGTTGGAATCTAAAATAATCCATTCAAAAATTCCCAGGATCCAGGAGAAGGGAAAGAACATTTTTATGGTTTCCTTATAATATACAGTAGATACCGTGCTATGATCACCCACCCATGCTTTTCAATCTAAAAACCTGTTTAGAAACTACAAGTCAGTTAATGCTGAGTGCCAAACCTTCACGCTGCCTTTATTTCATCCCCTTAGTGAGCTCCATGTTTAAGGTCCAAAGGTCAAATGTGATTGAAGTTTGTTCGTCATTCTAATGATTTGCTGATCAAAGAGGCTGAAATCCTCTCAAAAACTAGGCTAACAGATCCCTGTTTAACCAGATTAAATAGAATCACCCTTTGTTTACAATGCATCTTAGATATTATGTAATTAAAAGAGGCTGCAATTATGTCCAAGAAGATACAAAATAACGAATTTATTAAATACTTTTTATACAAAACAACTTATTATTGTTAATATTCAAAGGCTTGAATTATTTTTAGGTTACAATTCTGTACATAAAAACCTCAATTTGATATGTCAGCAAATAAAAACATTCCCATCCGATGTTTTTTTCTCACATTTAACAGACAAGGCAAATAGAATGATTTAACCTGCAACAAATCACAGCAGCCACACTGGGAGATACATATAATACAGAGCTCGTGTTTTAATAATCTAGGCTTGTGTTTTTATCTGAACTAAATTAATATGACTGCGAGCCATCAGTACTCTCAGTCCTCTCTTTTTAGCTTTACTGCCAGCAGACACATGCAATTCATTTTGAGGTATTAAAGGCAAAACTTGGTAGTTTAACAGCATACATTTAAATATATTTAAGAAATTGTAGGAAGCCCTGAAAACGTTAGTTTGAGTCAGTGCAACATGTTTCGAACTTTATGAAGCTTTTAATGCTGATCCATCTTCTTTTCTTCAAACACAGGGAGTGTCACTTAAATTGTTCCACGTAAAATACGCTCATTCTTGTTCTGAGAAAATGTTAGAAGACAAGATTGATATGACTCGTCTGTGAGAAGGTCCGATATTCAGTGTTAAGGTTAGAGTAGCCGAGTGGAGTCAGTGGTTCAGGATGTTTCAGCCCTGTTGGTCCTTCACTGTCTGTTGCCTCAGCAGATCCCAGAACAGCATGCTGAGCATTGTGTGTGGGGCCAAGCGCAGGAAGACAGGGCCCATGCCTTTATAAAAGCCCCTCAGGCCCTCAGCCTGGCACACCTTCAGCATACAATCTGAAAATCCATGGTACAGACGCCCCTGAAAGATGGATCAGAAAACAGTGTTAGGTTGATTTGGCCAGAATACTTATAAAAAACGTTGTTGTGCCATTATTTAGCGCAAGAACACATTTTTATGAAAAGGAGCATCTATTTGATTTAGTCATTATTCTATTACTATTTTAATGCAAAATTATTAATTTTCATTTACTTTGAAGCACAAAACACAATTGAAATAGATGTTTTGCACAAATCTCTCCGGAGAAACTAAGCGTTACAAATCTGTTGATTAAATCAACTAATTAATTAATCAACAAAAGAGTGTTAATCAACTAAGACTTTCTTTAGTCGAGGACTTAACATAGGTTATTTAAACTCACCCTACGAAACTCATCCACGGGCTGATTGTATAGTCGTGTACTGATGACGTCAAAAGGTGTCATGCTGATGGCGACGGCTACTCCGCTGATCATGGCGGCTATCAAAGTCGTGAGCCAGCTGTTAGGAGTAACCCACTACATAAAATAAAATAAATGGATTACAAACAGATGTTGACTTGTTTACTTTTTGGCTGATGGATTGACGACAACTGTTAAATAAGTGTTATAAAACTGTCAGCTGTTTATCTCCTCTACCTGGGAATGTGACACCCATTCCTTGGCTGAGGTGAAGGTTGCCAGTTGAGCAGCTGATCCCATCATGACCCGAGGCACGGCCCCATTCACACCCCTCCACAGACCAATTACACCGTCTCTTCTATATATGGTAACAAAGGCATCAGACACTCCCTGAAAAGAAGAAACCAAAGGCATTGGTGTGCTGGAAGTAACAGATAATAGCACTTAATGATACGGTGTATATCATGTGGTGGTAGATGTTGATAGAAATATGTTGAATAATGGATTGAAAAGCCATGTATTGTTTCATATCAGCGCACTGTATGTAGTCTGACTATAACAGCAGTGCAATGCCGTTTGTGTAAAAACGTTTCTTGATGGCATTGAGACCACTGGATCTCGTGATCAGAGCTGTATTTGTATTCATTCATCCCTACAACTTACAGACATTAAAATCAGTATATAGAGTATCTAGATATAGTGTTATCGCATTGTCTTCCTAAATTACAGGAAAAATAAAGAAGGGTTTCATGACATGTTTACTATGACATCCTTTCAGATGAAACAACGAATAATGTATTCATGTGTCTTACCAGGTGGTTATGCTGGTGGCCTACTGCTATGGCCTCCACAGTCTGAGCCTGCAGGTGGGTCTTCACCTGTAGGGAACAATGAAGCACAAATGATTAATCAGCATTCAGCCAGTGTTAAATCCTAGGACGTAAAAAACAGACTAATTATTGTCCATACATCAGTTAATGTCCGCGTCAGATGCAACAATGACAGGTAACTCTGCTAACAATGACCAGGTTTGAGTCACATAACATAAACTTGTTGTGAGAAATACATTCCTCAGTAGTCCTCAATTGAGTCCCTAAAGATCAAACCGCAGTAATATCATGCACAAAACCAAAATGGCTTCCAGTTGATCTTAAGTTTCAATAAAAATGACCTTCAGCCCTGCGTCCTTCACTCACTGCCAGCACCAAGCAGCCACACGATACTGTATATTTCTGGCAGCAGTGGGTAGGTGGAAGCGGAGTGTGGAGTATATTTAGTGACCTAGATATAGTCAAATGTGTTGTCAAAACTATTTTGTCTTTCCATGACGGTGCAAAAGGTTGGGTTGCGTTTCCATGACGGTGCAAAGATGGTTCAAATGTATTGACTGACATCTGAGAAAGAATCACAACAACACTTCTCCTGCCGTTTAAAAGACATACAGAGGACATTCATAAATTGCAATTCAAGAAACAGAGACAGACAGGTGTGAATGTCTAAACATTTTGAGTCTTGTCTTGTTTTATAGATGTACTTAAAGCTGAAAGGGACCTAGATGTGAGCCGGTGGTTAATCAAAAAATGTTTTACTCATCCATGTGGACAAGTATACTAGTCATCCTTAGATCATAGTTTTATCTTGTATTCTTTCCAAAGTAGATGTCATTAAAACATTATCTGTGATTAAGCTGACTACCACATACACCCATATAATGTGCCTTCCCTCACGAGCGCTCATGCTGGATTAAAATAGATGTAGGACATTTGAGACCTCTTTGAAATCGAGCTTGTTGGCTTTCCTTTCTCTCATTATGTTGAGTTACAAAACCTTTGTTGAAGCTAAATGCTTGTGGTTTGCAATGTCACCTTTTCATTTAAGTTTTTCCAAATTTATTTTTATACCTTTTTCCAAATCATTTATTATTAGGTTGTTTCAAAACGGACCATGTACAGTTAAACAAATAAAAGTGACCACCATAATTTCATAGCCTGAAACTAAATTGCGTTTGTAGTTCCTTGGCAGGTCACAAGTAAAATACATTTTAAAAAACTGTATTTTTGAGGATCTGATAGACTTTACTGAGTGAGAACATAAAGTCACAGATTAGAGGATGGGCCAATCCATTTAAAATGTTATACATCATGCACAGGATTGAATATAATCTTAATTACTCAAATCTCAATAGATGGTAATAGAAGGTGTTTCTGTCCCCATTTATTTTACTCAGATAATTTGCTGTTGTTTTCATTTTTTCCTCTTTAAACTCCTTTAGAAGCTTTCCTCTTTATATTTTCCTTTAGTGACAGAGAAGTTATCGTTGTGTCTAAACGTTTTTCTAACTTCATACAATTCTCAGATCCACTTGTACATTGAAATTATTAGTCGCAGCCATTTTTTCTCCTGTCCGTGCTGGTCTTGAAAATAATACTTTCTAAGGCGATTTAAATAGAAAGAGCATCATCCAGATTTACAGTTGAACCTTTCCTTTACTATAGAAACGCACCATAAAAAGTATGACTAATAGTGACTGATATGAATGACCTTTGGACAGCTCTTGCTTTATCGTGTTACCCAAGCATTGTGCGTAAATGAACAGTGTAATCTAACTTCACTTTATAGTGGCTGACTGTCGCTAATGCGTTTACAAAGCTGACAAATGCATGTTGTTGCTACACCAGGTGCAAACATGGTCTGATGGTTGAGGTCATAGAACAGGTGTATTCAAACTGCATGGTCTGTTTGAGTAAAAAGAGTGTTACACTAAACCCTTTTGCATAATTTATCTGAAGCTTAACACAAAGAGTAATTAATTACACATATCGTCTTTTCACATGAGCTCAAGCCTTCTTTAAGTCAGTGGTTAACAACAGTGGCTGTTAATTATTTAACTTATTTGGTTTTCTTTAACGTGTTACAGTTGGAGTGTAACCTAATCTAAGGAGCCACCATTGTGGTACATGGGGTTTCAATTTCCCATTACGTTTTTTACCTTAAGGGTTCACACAGAAACCCCCAAATGACCTCATGGCAGATATATTGTCCAACATTAAGAGGACTTATTTCAAATGTTTACAAAAAAGAGACAACTACAACCCAAGATTATGCTTCAACGGTAACATTCATCTTTTAGGTATGCATTTTGTATACAGTAGCTGGCCACAACATAGCATACACTACAATGGCTTGTAATACATACTGATTTAATCGAAAACATAAAAGAGCTGAGCTATACTGATCAATTGAGACCAGGAGCTATCAATGGTTTCCAAAGAGAAAAACTGATAATGTCTAATTAAAATGGGCAGTAAAACTTCAGGTCGATGTGTATTCATTTCCATTTCTATGCTCTGGCTCTGTGTTTTATTGTGTTGACTTGTCGATGAGGTTTTCTTTTTGTGAACCCTGGCAGCAAAACAAATATCCCTAGAGGGACAAGAACAATGACCTTGAACTTTAACACAAAATACACAAGAGTCTGAAGAGGGTAAAATTCACTTCAAACTGCTCACACAAGAACTGCATCCTTTGATGAGGGGAACTTCTGAAATAGAGGTTGCTTTAAAGAAAGAAACTGTAGTAAACTTACCAGGTAGGCAGGAGAGGCAATGAAGGCCCCCAGGGCCCCGGCCACAGCCCCTGACAACAGACTCCCCCCGTGGAAGGAGGTGACACCCAGAGATTCACAGTATGAGTAGGAGCCCAGCCTCACACCGTTCATCACACCCTGGTACATCAGCCCGGCAGAGAGTCCCTTCTGCAGGCCCCGGAGCCCGTCTGTGCGGCCCACCACCCACAGGGCCTGCAGGGCCCCGCGGTAGTGTCTCTGGTAGGAACCCCGTGCACGCAGCTCTCCCTGAAGCTGCAGACGAGTCTTTACCACCTCCAGGGGGTTGGTGAAGACACAGGCAGCGCAGCAGGAGAAAGCTCCCAGAGCAAAGTCTAGAGGAGGCCAGACGGCCAGAGGGGGCCGCGAGGGGCCTAGGACGCTGCGGGGTCCCGCAGACACAGTGGATGCCATCCTGTGGGAAGGCTGGGCACCAAACACAGACTCTTCTGGTGAAGGTTTCAGCAGCTGAACATCCGTCATCCCTGGAAGTGAGTGTCCTGTCAGTGTGACTTGTCCCCCTTTAATCAGTTTGTTAGGGAACAGGGATTGTGTATCTCACTTAGTACAGAACAATGAAGTCAGTGATTATATCAGCTTTTGTGATAACTCATCGAACATAAGTTTGGTATGTGTCCCCTGCGACAATGCAGGTCAATGAGCGCATTGGTGTCCCTCTGTAGAGGCTTTCATTAGCTTCCTTGACTGTCAGTCTGTTCAACAGAGGCACCATCTGCAAGAGAATGTATTCATGTGTAAGTTATAAAAATAATCATTGTGAGGTTCAGGTGTGTTCACAAAAGGCTGGACAAAGAGTGCTTGTGCTTCAAGAGACAGACTGTGAGGTGTTGGAATGGAAACATTCAGGTATTAGCTCACATGGCAAACACATTTGAAGCCACTAAACCTGAACAAACGATAGAGGACATCTTCAAGAGCAGACAATCTCGCACACTGAAGTTCACCTGACACTCACAAGCCACCAGCCACTATAGTCAAACTCATTCAAACCAACATTGAACTTCATTAAACCAACACGGTACAAGTGACACTCAAATAGAACAAACTACTCTCCTGAGCCTTTTGAAAGGTCTGGAAAATGTCTCTTGAATCTTGATACTTCATTCAGAAACTCACAATGTTTGGTGATCCTCCTGTGCAGCTCCATTCCTCCTCTCTCCCCCATCATTGTAAACATGTGTCCTCAGCACATTCATTGTCAAGGTTTCCTCCCCTTCACTCTCACCGGAGCATAGACTGTATATGCACCGGAGCCTATACGGTTTCCGTGCCGTCTGCCACGTCATCACATCCCCGGGGCTGCACCAATCACAGCGCTGCATCATTCCCTGGGCTGCACCAATCACAGCGCTCCGCTCTGCCCCCGCACTGGACCTATGGGAGCTCTCTGGGTAAAAGGTTATTGTTAGTCAAAGAGGGGGGGGGGGGGGAACTGTCTGAGGGAAAGGAGACGATACTGACTCTCATGTGTCTGAACCATAGACTGTGGTCTGAACAAGGTTAATCTGCTGGAGATAAATGAGGACAATCTCAGAAACAAAACAAACAAACCCGTGCTCTGTTTTACCTCTGAACTATTTGTTTAACTTAGTTATTTTCTTATGGTAACCAGACATTTTTTGTATAAAACATTAAGAAAAACTTACTCACAACTGCTAGGTGTTTGTTTGTGTATTAGCTATAAATGATGACGAAAAAAAGACTCGTCTACTGTATGCAGAGCAGACACTTGAGGGCGCACTTCTACAGCTCTAATGATTTGGGGAAAAGAAGTCTTGAAACTCAACCTACAAATCAAAAGATGGGTTGGTTATATTTTTGAACCATTTAAAAATAAGCAGAAAAGGACTTCCGTTTCAGCAACTTTTTTCAATTCAAATTAGATATAAAAGAAAAATGACCTAATGCTAATAATTTGAACATTCAATGACAATTTCATAGAAATTTGACAGGTTTTAAATGCACAACTTACAACTGCTTATTGCAAATGTAAAACTTTCTCAAAGCTAGTTTTCAAAGAAATCTATAAACCCAGTAGTGTTTAAATATTACCATTAAGCATAGTCCTTTTTAAATATCATATTTAGGTTTCCAGCTGCATGTAAAATCAATTATGTTGGAGTTTCTTGGGTTTACTCATCTCAAATTAAGTTAACATTTTGAATAAATGTTCCCGGAAAAAAAATGGACGTTTGAAAATTGGAGATTGATGACAATTTGACAAACCCATATGAGGAAGTTCACATACTATGATTGAAGCTTGTGATCACCAAATAATAGACTTAATGGTGAGATATCTTTTAATTGCAGTAATGTTTGATAAACACACACAGCAGGAATTTAAAGACGGTGACCGACCAGACATGGAGGCCTTTATTGTTTAAGTATGTTTATAGTACAGTGCCACATCTCTCACCCGCCATGGCGCCCGACACAATAGTCAACAACTTTTAACCACCACCGTGCACACATAACACACACACACTCACTGTTTTCTGCATTGCAGGTTTAAAGAGCGATACAAAAGCAAGGTAGTCTATAAACGTTTCTGCGTCAGTTCTTCCAAGAGTTCGGAGGAGGGCGACACAGAAAAAAATTAATGTTATTTTTTGGTTGATCACCTTTTTGGGAACAACAACAAAATGTCTTGTCTAATCACTGCAGTCACAAACACACATACTGACACACCCATACCACCAGTCAGTATTCTCATTCAACCAAATGTTTTTATCAAAGTGTAGTTAAAAGTGTTGTATTTTGAACGCTTGCAGGCAGAAGGGATAATAGTGAATTTCAGAAGTGGAACAACTAACAATGATTATGTTCTTTTCCCATAATCCTCTCTATAGGAAAAAGGCCTTGTTTGTCATTTCCCTTGTGTGATCACAGGGCGGAGCGTCCGTCCTACCCATCCCGCCTGAAGTTGCATTACCTCTTAGCGCGTACAAAGTACAAGGCGTTAGTTTTAGGGTAGTACTTCACATTCTGTTTCTTGTCCATGAGGCCACCAAAAATGATGAGCTCTCCTCTTCCCTGTACCACTGTGTGGAGGCTGGTCTCCGGAGGCCCTGTTACCGCGGCGGGGGTCCCGTTCCCGTAAACTCTCCAGGACACCACCCGCGCAGACTTGGCCCTGGAAACATCCAACACGTACATCTGCATGGGCTTGCAGTTGAGAGACTGGTATAGAGGTTTCCCTACGTTCAGGCTTTGGGGTGGGTGATGGCCCAGACGCCGTGCAATAGGTGGGATAGCGTGTCCATCAGCTCCAGCAGCCTGCGGAGGGCTGGAGGAGGAAGACGGAGGGGTTCCAGGTGGACCGGCTCCTCCACCGCTTCCTCCTCCAGGAGAAGCCCCCTGTGTCTGAAGGGAAGACGATGACGATGAAGACGGTAAAGATGAGGAAGATTTGTTTTTCACTGCCTCCAGACCTCGTCGTAAGGCAGCGGGAGACACTGCTCCTGGGGGAGTGTGTGGGGAGCCGGCAGGAGGGGTATGCAGGCCATTGGTACTGGGCACCTCAGGGTGCTGAGCGGCAGCAAGAGGAGACTCCCAGCCATAGTCTGTGGAGGCATTTAGGAGGGGCCGTGAGGAAGGAGAGGCAGCCTGGGCCGGGCTGGTCTTTGGTGAAGGGGAGGATCCGTTTAATAACGGGGGAACTGCAGGAAGAGGAGGGCTGTCTGAGCCTTGTGAAGGAGACGGCTGCTGGGGGGAGGAGGGGCTCCCTTCTCTGGCCCCTCTCGCTGATGGCCGAGGTCTCAGCGTGCCCCATCGGCCATTTACACAAGGAGCCTCTTCAACTGCTCCCAGGACAACGCCGGCCGCCCCGCTCCGAACAGGAGACTGAGAGCGCAGGGAAGGCGGTTCGGAGCCCAGAGGGCCCGGTGAGGCACTTATCGGGGAGGGCCGAGAGTTAAGACTTGGGCTGAGAGGTGCACGGCCAGATGGAGCTTGTGAGAACACCACCACACACTGGCCCACCTTTAGATGAATGAAAAGATCAGAAATGAGACATTAGTGATCATTCTTATTCACACACATGCAGAATATGACAACAGCTAAGTACTTTTTTCAAAATGAAGGTTTAATAAAAAATGGGGAAACCCACAAGTAATTTGCAAGGGATAGCTTTGTTTTGTTTTCTTCTGGTATGTCATGTTCAAAGTCGCAGGCAGGGTTGGTAAACAGTGGAAATGCTGCGGTGGGGATTTATTTGTATATCTGTTATTTATTTAGCTTGCTTTACGATGACCAGCGAAGACAACTTGAAAAGGGTTTTAAGACAGACACTTACTCTACAAGCTGGGTGACACCACAGCTCTGGGGCCCCGTGCTCCTCGTTCTCCACCTGCAGCTGCTGCCACCTCCATGGTGGTGAATCCATGTGAAGGAGCCAGGCATCTTTAAGGAGCTTAAAACACACAAGACAACCGTTTAGGTCAACCTGGTCACATAACGTCACATGGAACATTTGCCAATAGATTAAAGATGTGTTGTTTTGATACTCGAGTGGATAAACAAAAGCTTACTGCATTAGGACCGCCACAGCCTCCCAAGATGAGCAGCGTCTGATCATCAATCACAATCTAAGAGGAAAACATTTAATAGATATCATTTAATTTGATATAGAAAAGGGGAAGTTTCTGCTACATAACTTGCAAAATGCATGTGGAGGGGAAAGCAGGACAACAACTCCACTTTAAGTATCTTTATCGTGAGATCATAGAAGTCAAAAAAGAAAGAAGATCAAACAAGCAATAACATGTCTAAGATTGAAGGAATGGAATATTTGACTAGTTTGAATGTTTAAGCCTTACTTGTGATTGGCCTCCTCGCGGGTGGGGTAAGGGGCCAGATATGGGGGGTTTGGACCAGGACCATTGCTCCAGATCCAGAACCCAGACTTCATTACTCCTGATCAGAACCATCAGAGACAACACGGTGAGGTGTGACAGACACAGATTTCAATCTCAGATACAATTCAATTACCAAATGTAGGACTTGAAAGGCTGAAATATGTAAGGTTTTACATTAAATAACATTAGATATTTGTTATAAAGGTGCAGTGTGGTTGGCAGTGTTACAGCTCATGTGAGTTTTGGTTTCAAGTCTAGTTTCTTATGTATTATGTCTGTAATTTCAGTGACTGTATATGATTTACTGAGGTTATGTAACTTCCTCAACTCAGTAAATCACACTCACAATCACCTGACTAGTCATAGAACAATATATACATTTCATATCACTATTATTCTGACCAAAATAAAAGCGATATAACATCTTATCAGGATCCTCTTCAAAATATGTTTAAACTCAAAAGAAGGAAAAAATAGAAACGTTAAAACATACAGGATCATTGTCCCCTTAGGCGCGTTCACACCGGAGTACTTTTCCCCGTACAGTTCCGTTAGTACCCCTTATGTTGCGTTCACACCAAAAAGAGTACTTAGTGCCGGGAACTTTTACCCCCATTTTTAGTGCCTGCTAGAGAGGTGGTACCAAAAAAGTACCAATTTCTATTGGCTGGGCGAATTGCAAACCACGCCCCGTAAAACTCTGAAAAGTTTTGGGAAAGCCGCCATTGTATTTGCTGGCATTAGCATTATTAGCATTAGCCCCGCACACCAACGGAGAGAGAATAACTTATGGCAACACAAAAAAAAACATGGGAGCGGTGGAGTGATGAGGAGGTGTCTGCATTCTGGCGATTTACTCGGAAGGCCAGAACTCCCCCAACTCCGGGGACTTCCGGCCGGGGACTTCGGGTGGCAGTATACGCCGTGAAGTTGTTTGCGGCCTGCCAGTAAATCTAAAGCAGAAGAAGACGAAGTCACGTCAGCGGCTCATTTGCGTAATCTTCCAACAGGGAACTTATTCCGGTGTGAACGCGATCTGTACTTAGTTCCATGGCGGGGCACTAAGTACGGCAAAGTACTTGGTGTGAAAGCGGCTCTTGACTCATCTTCACCTTTGATTTGTGCCGCTTATATTAAAAAAAAGCAATTCTTACATTTGCCTAGCTCCTAGTGATCCACCAAAAACCACCATGGTGTTCCCAATCACAGATGAAGAGTGACCAGCCATTGGTGGAGGTCCATGTGTTGTTACTATACAGTTCCACCTGAGAGAATAGAAGAAAAAGACAATCACAAAAAGTTTAAAAAGACAAACTAAAACGTAAAATTGAATCACATGTCACAACTACATCCTTTCGCTCCAGTAATGAAGTCTGCCTCACCAGTTTTTTGAAGGAGAGTAGGTGTGGATCTCATCAAAAAACCTTTCTGGTTGGTGCAGTGGATATGGGCTCGGCCGCGTCCATCCCCCAAACAGCACTAACAGATCTTTGTGCATCACTAGAGTCGCCCCAGCTTTAGGAGATGGATAAGAGCCTGAAATGAAAAGACCAAAGATATGAAATCACATTTTTTCTAAATAAGTATGATGTTATGCGTGTGAATTAATGCAATATATATATATATATATATATATATATATATATATATATATATATACCTAAACATATAAATCACCTTTAAGTAAACTGTTCCTTAATAAATTCAGTGAAAAAGACCAAACAGAAATGGAAAACACAGCACAGGGTGAGACTACGTGATTCTTTTTCCGTTTAACCCGGTGGCGAACCGTGTCTATCACAACTGGACCTTCTGTAGACATACACACCCCCCGCCCCCCCCGGCGTTATAATGTCCGTCTTTTCACTGAATTGTCGTCTTGAAAAGGGTACTCGCAACAATTCCGCAAAAACTTAATCTTCACCTGTTGCACTTGCCATTTCAACGTTAAAAACAATAAAACGGCATGAATTGCTTCGTCGCATTCATCTAGATCAGTGTTTCTCAAACTTTTTCATACCAAGGACCACTTAACCAATAAAAAAACACTCGCGGACCACCTAACTCCACAAATATCCAAAAACACATCGTTTTTTACAAATCGCCTGAAAATGGTACAAACAAGTGGCAACATGTGTAATGAAGGTGTTTATCTGGGCTATATCATGCAATCAAAACTTAAACTTAAGCTCGCTCCATTGCGGAGATATTCCCGCGAGAGTGCGGAAAACTCAAATTAATTAATTAATTTCAAATGTGAAATTGTACCAATATACTCACGGACCACTAGGGGGCGCTCACGGGACACCAGTGGTCCGCGGACCACACTTTGAGAAGCACTGATCTAGATCCTCTGTCTCGAGCCAGTTAACTAGCGGGCCTTCTAGAATACCCAGGAACCGAGGGAAACTGAAAGAATACGCCCATTGGCTACAAATCAATATATGATCTACCTGCACCTCAGCCACCTGGTAATGCACCCCAAGCGCCGCACCTCTCCCACTCCAACCTCTCCTCCTTCTCCCCTGTGGATGCTCTCCAAGTGGCCAAACTGGTCAGCTCGGCCAAGACCTCCACCTGCTCCCTGGACCCCATGCCCACAGCCCTGGTCAAGGACTGCCTACCCACCCTCTGTCCCTACATGGTGGTCATCATCAACGCTTCTCTGGCTCCTGGTATAGTCCCCACCAGCTTCAAACTGGCCTCAGTCACCCCCATACTCAAAAAACCTGGCCTGGACCCCGACGACCTCCAGAACCACCGGCCGATCTCCAACCTTCCCTTCCTCAGCAAAACTCTGGAAAGAGTGGTCGCCGGCTAACTCCATCAGTACCTGTCCAACAATGAGCTCTATGAGCCCTTCCAATCCGGCTTCAGACAGCAACACAGCACTGAGACCGCCCTCATCAAGATCACCAACGATCTCCTCATTGCTGCTGACTCTGGCCGCCTCAGCATCCTCATCCTCCTGGACCTCTCTGCAGCATTTGACACCATCTCTCACAACATCCTCCTCACCCGCCTCTCAGACCTCCTAGGTGTCACTGGCACAGCGCTGTCCTGGTTGACATCCTACCTCCACAACAGGAAACAGTTTGTCTCCATCAGTGGCTCAAACTCAGCCCCGGCCCCAGTCCACCACGGTGTACCCCAGGCCTCTGTGCTTGGCCCCCTCCTGTTCACCATTTACATGCTCCCCCTCGGCCAGATCATCCGACATCATGGACTCAACTTCCACTGCTACGCTGATGATACCCAATTGTATCTCAGCACCACTCCATCCTCCCAGCTCCCCCCTCAGTCTCTCATCAACTGCCTGCATGACATCAAAGCATGGATGTCATGCAACTATCTGAAACTAAACAGCATGAAAACAGAGCTCATGGTTGTGGCACCCAAGGCCCTGCTCCAGAAGGTTGGTGACTTCGTCCTTGAGGTTGACGGCTGCTCCATCTCCCCATCTCCTGAAGCCCGCAACCTGGGTGTCATCCTCGACTCCACCCTTTCCTTCCATTCCCACGTCAAATCTGTGACCAAATCGGCCTTTTATCACCTGAGGAACATTGCCAGACTCCGACCGTCACTCTCGGAGTCGGTTGCCGAAACCCTAGTCCATGCATTTGTCACCACCCGCTTGGACTACTGCAATGGTGTCCTGTTCGGGGTTCCCAACAAAACCCTGGACAGGCTCCAGTATGTCCAAAACTGTGCTGCTAGGGTACTCACGCACACAAAACCGTGGCAGCACATCACTCCCACCCTCATCCACCTACACTGGTTGCCGGTCAAGTCCCGCATATCCTACAAAATCCTCCTCCTTACCTACAAATCCCTCCATGCCCTTGCCCCCCAGTACCTATCGGACATCCTTCACCCACATGCCCCACCCCGGAACCTGCGGTCCTCAGACTCTGGCCTGCTTACCACCCCCCGCACCAAACTGCGAACCTACGGGGACAGAGCCTTCAGTGTGGCAGCCCCCACCCTCTGGAACGCTCTCCCTGCGGAGATACGCAACATCCCCACACTTGAAGCCTTCAAAAGGGCCCTCAAGTCCCATCTGTTTGTCAAGGCTTTCGGCCCCTAAATCGATCTGTTGTTCTGTTTGTCTGTCTTTTGTTTTGTTATGTTTGTCTTTGCACTATTACTTGTGAAGCGACCTTGGGTCCCCTGAAAGGCGCTATAGAAATCGAAGCTATTATTATTATTATTATTATGATTGGTTGATCAAACTGTCAGTCCAAACGTACGCTCTCATACAGTGCAACGGCCAGGGCATTCGATCAAGGATGTAGAATACCTTGGTTGAAGGATATTCTACCCAGAGACCCAGAACAAGATCTGATTGGTTGCTTTCTTTTCTAACACAAAACCACTGAAATGCGTAGTGCATGGTCCGAGAAGGACAAACAAATCAACGTAACACTGTAATATTACAGATCAACAACACGGATACCATTCTCATTTATTCATTTTATATACATTTTATTTATATAATTAAATCGATTTTTGTTTTTGTTTTATCTGAGTGTTCCAGGGTATTCTCTGAATACCTTGAAGGCCCTGATGGTTCACCACTGGTTTAACATCACATTCAAGTGACAAAATAACTCACATTAATTGTATGTTGCAGTAGGCCAAATGTATCGCAGTAAGGTGCTCTTTACAGACGTCTTTACCTCTTAAGCCTTAGCATGCAATTTCATAAAAACTGCACTAGTACAATTATTTCCCTCAATATAATTTTATCAGAGCTACATTTTCATTACCACCTCTTCAAATACTGTGTATTCAGTTGCTGCTGCTGAGCATATGACTACTACATTAACTTAATGTGGTTCGCCCTCCCACAGTTCCCTTACATAAGCTTCTTGTGCAGCTTCTTTTTTTTTTTTTACCAGAGTAACAGCTTACATTTCTGTTTACTGTTAAATGTTACTGCTTGTAACCTACTCATACCTGAGGCTAAAGGGCGGATCCACTCCTTGCTGTTGAGGTCAAGTCTCCACAGATCATTGAAGGCAGCATTGCAGCTACTCTGAGTGCAACCCCCAAACACATACATGGACTGGTTTGAGTCGTAATAACATGCACCTGCAACGGAAAGAAAATCAATTAACCCCAACACACATGCCCCTTTCACACCAACGCATTTTCAGCTCCGGCTCGGAGCTGGAGCTGAAAAAGTGCCGGTTTTTCCTGTTCACACCGCAGCGGCGCCGCCTCTTAGCTCCGGAATCCGGTTCACTTCCAGCTCCTAAAAATTGTCGGCCTAGAGGCAAGAGCTTCGGAGCTAAGAGGTGGCGTCGCTTACGTCTTCCTTACGTCGAGGCGTGCAGGAAACTAAACCCTCCTCCCCTGAACATGGGTCGACTGTCATGCCTGCCTACAAGCAGTAGTGCTTATAAACACACTTTATAAAGTCAGGCAACACTAACCAGATTTCGTGTGATTCTGTTTATTTGTACCTTACTTTGACCATCCGTTCACTGTTATTGATCATTGCGGAGAGAGGCAGACGTTTTGTTTTGTATTATAGCAGCTATCGGATGGAATCAATACATGGGCTGCACAGGTTGTCGTGTCCGACTATCACAAGTAGAATCATAATACAAATACGCCGGTAAAATGCGCCTGTAGAAAACGGTTTATGCCACAATAGGATAGCAATAGCAAGTAGTCAGTTTAGCTTCGGTTGCTATGCTAACATCACCCATTTTATACCAGAGAAACTTTCATAACAGCGTTGTGATGCCAAACAGCGTCAATTCAGACTGACACACATTCACTTAGGCTAAGGGGAACTGGGGATATGTAGCAGCTGCTTGTGTGAGTCGGACAGTGAATACTTTAGAGCGGCCGCTGCAGTGTGAGCTAACCGGGAGCTAACGGGAGAATAAACTCCCGCGGAAGAGCAGCCAACACTGCAGCGGTCGGTAAATGCTGCAGAAACACATTAATAAACAATGAACCACGGCACTCTGGAGCAAAGTATAAGGTTGGAGAAGTCGTTATTTAATTTAATCTGGCTTCGTGTGATTAAAAGCAACACGATCATCGACCCGACGCAGTTCCCTGTTGTTGTTGTTGTGAGCGCCGTAACGCCGTTGGGGAGCAAATCAGCGATGTAAACGGTGACGTCATGACGCAGCAGCAGCAGCTCTGGGCGGTGTGAACAGAGCGGGAGCAGAAAAGGGAAACCGGAGCTGAACCAGAAAAGCTCTAGCTCGGAGCTAGAAAGGGAAAAGCGCTGGTGTGAAAGCCGCAACAGTGGACTCTGAAAGAGTTGTGTAATGTCAGTGTAATAGTATTTTTTCTACATCAACATGCACTTTGAGATGAGTAGCATTTTTATGTCAGTGACATCAAAAACATATTTATTCTTTTCATGAATCACTAAACTTGCAATGGGCAGGAGCCAATTTATCTCCTGCACATTCATAATATTTTCCACAGCTTAAATGCACAGAAACATTTTGAGATGTTAGATAACCTGAAGTTCTTTTTCTTTGACTTCTGGTAAAAACGGTATATTTGACAACTCATTTTGATACGATGTAGAGTAAAGCAGCATATACTGACTGTGTGAGAAGCGCTGAGTTATTGGAGTTCCTGGATATGGGTATGTGCGACTTTCCCACTGGATATTTCCCTCCTGGACAGCTTTCAAGAATCCGTGGTAGCATTGATAAGCAACACCTAGTTCAGATCAAATAATTGTTAGCAACACACATTTTACAAGTGAACTTTGTTCTGCATTTAAGTGTTACTTTTTAATCGGCTCCCTCTCAGGTGTGTAAAGCTAATGTTAACTCATACACACTGTAAGGCTAACCATTCCAACTCAGGATTCAGATTGATACAAGACTATGTATGTGAGAGGCATACCTTTAATGAGACGATACCACTGCTTACATACAAGAGCAGCGGTCTTGTGCTCCTGGTAAGGTGAGAGGAAGGACAGAATATATTCAAGAACTTCCTCTGGCAACTCAACCATGGTTCTCCCCCCTCGTTTGGCACAATTGTCCATGTTCCCTTCTTGTCGGCAGGACCCCATGTTTGCCTCTTCCTCCTCTGTTATCCCAGCAGGATCTGCACCATCATCTTCTGTATCCATGGCAACAAAGCATCCATCCTCATTATCAGGGGAGCGGGACATTATCGTCTGAGAAACGGAGAGACATGTTTGAGATGTATGCACTTATCTTCGTTTGTATATATTTCATCATCTACAATTACCTACACTGTATCTACGGTCAATATACACCATCTATTATAATACTCACCCTTTTTACACTTGCCCTATTTGAGTTATATCGGATGTGTGCAACTCAGATTTAACTAGGATGAATCCTTAAACAAACTTGAAATAGAGTAGGTCTTACCAAAGAAAGCCAATGTCACTGAAAAGCTATAACCACCATAACAGTTGTGTGGCATGGTGCTCATCAGTCTTAGTTGTCACACCCATTGTCTGAAACGGGTGGTGCCCTTTCTTTAGACTTGGCCCCCTCTTATATCGTTAGCTACATCAAAATAGCTGTGGTTAGCCATCACATACTAAATGAAAAGCTGAACTGCTAATACTACCACCGTAAAGATAACCGCCCATAAGAATACATGAAACATGGTACAAGCCATATGTTTAAAATAGGAATTGTTTTTGTTACACAACACTGACTAACCGGCGGGTAAGGTTGTATGTTATAGGATTTGACGTTGGACCCTCAGACAATATATGTTAGCACTGGCTAACGCTAGCTTACTGGTCGTGAGCATCCAAGCTAACGTTAAGATTCATTTATCATAAGCTAACGGTGTAAAATACAGCTTACACGTTTTCTTATAAATAAATGTGCCTAAAATGCAAAATTGTTACGTATGTAAATGACACGGCAACCTTTCAGGGCAGCAATCTCGGCTACAGTTACACCCAACTAACTAACAAGCTAGCTAGCTGATATATCCAGTCTGCTGCTGATAATCTATGCTAACGCTAGCTCGAGCAGAAGCAGTAATTAACTAGTTCCTCTAATGCCAGACACATTATGTCAATTTCACCCCTGCACTGTTGCAGTATTGTTAATACCGTTGTTGTAGCCGTGGATATTTGGTGGCTGTGAGTGTTTGTGTTTGCTGTTCTTTCCCCCGGTATCAGCTCCGGAGTTTCCTCTGCAGCCTCCAAACAGTCGCCATCTTCCGCTCTGTGAACAACGTCCTCCGCAGCACAGCGACGCAGCACCGCCGCCGACCGTCTGCACCAGGGTGGGTCTCATGGACCAACACTGCGCCCCCAGCTGATACAGGGGGATCATGTTTCGCCCAGGGGAAAGTTAGAATAACGCTGTATAATTACCCGATTTTAAAAGTGTAGCAAATTACAAAATACCATCATCGTCAATTATAAATGTTATCTTTGGAAATCTATCAGTGCATCATTTTGAGAATGGGCGATAGCCTACCTACCCACAGGAGGATAAAACAGAAAGTGGAATAGATTTGGTAAACTGTCCAAAAAAAACGTAATGGCTTTTAAAAAAAATAAAAAATGTTAACCTCAACATCAAATAATAACAAAACGTAATTACAAATGCATGGTTCCAACAAAAACACATTACATAGAATAAATCACATGCAAAATCATAACAATAAAATATGGTATACAAATATATAAAATAATAATAATTAGTGTTTTTCAATACAAGTACTAATGACTGCTTATATTTACTAATTAAGATGGAAAATACATTTGAAGATGACATCTCTTTCTATGTTTGGACTGTTTACACCAGGAGTGTCCAAACTTTTTTCACCGGGAGCCACATACAGAAAAATATATGAAGGTCTGGGCCCCTCACTAGAGGTGAGGTATATTGCCTCATATGCTAAGTTATAAGTTAGAAAAATCAATCAAATGTAGGTAAATTAAGCTTGACACTTGAAAATGCTGTAAGAAAAACAGCCTTCCTCACAGCTCTGCAGAGGGTTTCATTTATTTAGTTTGCAGCTCATGTATTAAAACAGAAGCTTCAGATTGCTTATATAAAGATTTGTTATGCAAATAAGTGATTGGGTTTTTTATATGAACTAAGAGTTTGAAAATGTTTCCAACTTTAATTGATTGAATTTATTTGAAAAGTGGGCACACATGATACTGTGATATATATTTGTACATAATGTATTTAATTAGTACAATATATGACAAGCACAAGTTTAATTTGTGGGCCATATTTCATTATACTATTTTAATTAGCTGAGGGCCATTTCAAACTGGGCTGCAGGCCTCATTTGGCCCCCGGGCCGTAGTAGTTTGGACACCCCTGGTTTACACCCTCTGGACTTTGAAGTTATATTATTTGGGATTTATTCTATAATTATAAGGTCATTGAAGCCTCTGTACTTGCTTTTTCTGTAGTTTGATCACAAGTGTGCAATATAGAGTGGTGCACAATATGCTCCCCGAAGAGACATTTCTCCCTCCATCTGTATAGGCACACACTCAACTTGCATGTAATGATGACATTTACGTTTGATATGGAAATGGTCCCTTTTTAATACAATTAATAAAAAAATAAAACTGCTGCAATTCTGACATTTGTGAGACGGTTGAAGTGTTACATTTGCTGGTGTATGTGTCCACTATCTTTGTGTTTAAATGGGCACATTGTATTGATCTAAATTATACTTAAATGACCGATAGTAAAAGAGAGGTGATTACATTGTATATCAATAATCCAAATCTGCAAAGTAACTAAAGGTATAAAGGTTGTACAAATATACAATTGACCTCTGAATTGTATTGGATAAGAGTACTAAATTGCACAAAATTGTGATACTCAAGTAAAATACTAGTATCTCGAAATGTACTTAAGTACTGTACTTGAGTTGAGTAAATACTACATCCACTAAACGCCTCAAAAACAAGAAGACCTATTTGCCCATTTCTGATGCTGTGTTCAAGTCACTATCGTTCATTTCCACATCCGCTACTTGTTTGTTACATTCATAGACTGGTTACAACGATTATGTTAGATCATTTGTGGATTTCCCTTTCATACAAACGGAACTATGATGCAACACAGTTATATTTGCAGTAACTGTCATGGCATTCATATAATTCCACGTTTGCCCTTTAGCGTTCTTACATGTCTAGTGACCACTGTGTCGTTGGTGTGTCGGTGCCACGTACAAGACTTGAACACAACTCTTCCCTTCGATAGATACCACGGTCACACAAACTCAAATATAAAACAGCCTCAGCCAACTCTCTTCGCTCTATCCTCAAACACAACAGTGCGAATTAGTGCACATATTTCTAATTAACACGGATAAGGCGTCAGTCAGTTAAATGTCACAGAATGACTATTTCTGGCCGTTAAGTTGTCTTGTCGGAGGTTAACAATTTGACGCCACCTAAGCTAACTTCAATATAACGTAATTTCCCCTCTTGTTTTACGGCTATACTTAAGAGGCACTGCTCCCATGTTACACACTATCTAATTCAGCTGTCAACAATCCAAAACTATTGTTTACACACTGTGTTTTTCCGTCCGAGCGACGTGTGGACGACACTGGATTTAGCGAGGTCGACATTACGCCAGTTTTAAAGTAACAGCAGCAGCCAGGGGGGATTGCCCTCAGTTAAGCATTAGCGCTAGCAGGCTAATAACACGCGGGCAAGCGGCGGGTTGTGAATTTGTTCTTCGTTCAATTATCATTTGATCACCAACACCCGTGAGTTTGAGCTACCCGTGGGTGTGTGTGAGCTCTGCCCACCGTCTCATGCACCTCTGTGTGGATGAGAGAGAGTTAGAGGAGCCGGAGAGCTAACCAGCAGTCCTGTTAAACATGGAGGATGAAGAGGTTGCAGAGAGCTGGGAAGAGGCGGCGGACAGCGGGGTGAGAAACACTAACTTTGTACAGATATTATTCTAAACAAGAGTTGGATTCACATATCCAGTCGCAAAGCAATGATCCGCAATACTCTCTGTGTGTCTGGCGTTTGAATTCCTGATTTAAACATGTTTTTATTTCGGGTTGTTTTTTCATCATAGAAATCAGCTTGTTTTCCTCACCGAGTCTTGTAGGCCTCACTGTCCCATAACAACACAGGACAAATGCTGGCTTCATGACCATTTATTTACCGAGAAAAATGATCTTATAATGTTTGAAATCCCAATGTATATCGTTAAAGAAAACTTGTTTTAAAAAAACTTTTTCAAATGTATCTCATTTCTTTAGACCCGACTATTGCGGATATGAAAGGCTGGACTTAGTCATGTAATACCATACCACCAACAGTTGACCTAAAGTATATTTAGAGTTTCAGCAAACATATTTAGCTGATTTGTCTTGCCTTGTTGGTAGATTGGTGGATTTGTTGGTCAAATTATCTGTTAGCTATACAGACGGTCCACTTTCTATGATTTTTTTTGGTAACCTATCCCCCCTGTCATTACATTTTATGTTTCTATTACAACATTTAAAGTGGCTGCTAAGCATGACCATTTCACTTTTGTGACCTAACATTATTATGGATTTTATGGAAATGTTATGGTTAAGTTGCTGCATTATTTTATCCTCTCATCCTTATTACTGCAAACTGAAATCCAACTGCTGGCAACATTTTGATATGATGGTGAGATATGTACAGTCTACCATGTTTTATCACAAAATATACATTTCAACTTCTGTTTAAAAATGAATACAACAATGCACTCAATAAAAAAACAAGTAGGAGCTGAGTACATTTCTTAACAAATGGTCAAGTATGTGATGCCCCCCATGATATATTACAAAATGCAGAGTATTCACATTTTCAATTTTAGGTCATATGATCTGCAATGATATTTCTGAAAAAACTTAAAGGCAGTTTTCTTTCCATCAGCAAATTAAATATCTGGTAAAAATGTTTGCTGTTCAGGTCAATGGTACACATAATCAACTTGTTGGATTACACATGTCTTACATTTGTTTATCTCCCCAGGAAATAGACAGAAGGCTTGAGGCCAAACTGAAAATAAACCAGGAGGCAAGGTAAGCAAAGCAATTTATCAAAAAGAATGGTAAATGTATTGCATAGAATTTTCTTACAGTAATTGTATATCTCTCACTTGTTTTTACCTGTACAGGAAGTCCATCCTGGGGTCTCGTGGCTCTCCTGTTCGGACTGCTATTGTAATTCAGGATGACTCTTTGCCTGCAGCACCCCCACCACAAATTAGAATTTTGAAACGTCCCTCAAACGGTAATGCAGGAAACCTTGCGTCCTCGACTCGTCCCTCTCAGCAGATGAAGTCTCTGGCCCAGCGGGAGGCAGAGTATGCAGAAGCACGAAGAAGGATCTTGGGTAGTGCATCTTCAGATGATGTGCCTCAGGACAATCCCAGCCAGGACAGGTAAGACAAAACAACAAAGAAGAACCACAAATAAATTGACATAGTACCTAAAACACTGTTATTAATTTCTTCTCTTTTCTTCTCATATCATAAGGCCAAGTCGTATGAGCGTGCAGCAACCTTCAGAACCAATTCGTCCAAACACTCATGTGGTCCGCCAGCCTACTGGCCCGGATGGCACCTCGGGCTTCAGACTCTGCAGATAAACAGGAACTACTTGCTGCAAGGAATCAGCTGTCTACCTAGGAGGGCATAAAGGGTGACAGTTAAAGGGGTTGTTTGTGGTATGAAGAGCAGAGCGGTGGGATGAGACAAAATGTAACAGATAAAAGTATTACGAGTAACAGACAGCTTCTGCACCCTCTCTCTACTCTGCTTACTGGCATGGTCTTTGGCTTTCACATTGTCTTTTCCTTCTGTGGAAAGCTGCAAGGGTCTGGCAGAGATCCGCCAAAGATCTGAAACCCCTTCTGTTCCACACTGTGAACAGGCTTTGGCCTCACATCCCTACACACTGTGATACTTTGATGCCACATGAGGTGCCCTATGATTTTAAGTATGATTGGCCAGACAAGGACATCAGGTGTCTGTCTCTTCAGGGAGAATAAGAAGAGCTCTCCAATATGTGGGAGTTCCCTGGAGAGAAGCAAGCTAACGAGCTGGCCTTTCCACTGATCGAGCGTGGATCATGGCTGGGTGTCCACCGGAGAGCTGGCCTTAGTTTGTTGGGTCCAGTGGAAATTAAGTGTGTGACAGGGCTGAGAGTTTACTATGTGTCCAACAGCTTGAGTGCAAGTGAAAGAAAGTCAAACTGATCCAACAGTTTGAGGGAAAGTGCACTGTGCTCAAAAGGGCATTTTTATACTGTAGTTGTGTAACAATG